AACTCACAACACCCTTGTATAGGATTTCTGGGGCTGTAAATGTATACGGGAGCTGAAAGTTTCATCTTTTTCCCTTGGAGCAGTTGGTAGGTTTGAACCACCAACTTTGCAGTTAGCAGTCCAGTGCCACGGGAACACCTTTGTTCTTCAACTAGCACCCACTAAACTGAGGCTAGCCAGCGTAATCTGACCAGATATGTCATTAGCACATGGACTATGAATTCACTTTCAGCATCTGGCTTGAAAGTGTACCTCTACATGGTGGGATAAAAAGAGAGGGGCAGGAAGATGAACATGTCTCTTCCCCTCTTCCAAAAAAATAATAAAGGAACCACCTTAAATCAGATCTGTGGTGGATTCAGGAAAGGTTCAACTTCTACAGGGCAACCATAAAAACCCCGTGCTTGAGATTCTGCTTAACTATAGTGGAAGACTGAAACACAGCTTTCAGAACCTGCTTTAGCGATTTCCAGTTATCAACATGAAAGAAGACACCCATAAGAATGGGGGGAAGTTCACATTTGTGCAAAGAATGGAGGGAAACATACTAACTTTGAAGTAGGCCCCTATGAAAGCCACCACAATGATTGATTAGAGACTCCTTTTACCGGATGACTGGTACACAAAGCTTTACTTATATCCAAGGGCCCAGAGAGGAAGGCTCTGTGTGTATTAGTGAGTGGAATGCCAGCTGCTGTAACAAATACCCCCTGGATTTCAGTGACTTCAGACACTATCTTCTTTCTCACTCACAGTTCATTTCAGTGCAGGTGTCTTGGCTGGCTGGCAGCTGTTCTCCATCTGGCTATTTGACTCCTTGTCAATTTCTTAGGGCTCAGAATGATCTGCTTCCGCCTGGTATACGGGAAGAGACAGGGTAAAGGCTCATCAACTTAAAAAAATCCTAGGGGATCTACTCTACAAATACCTTCTTTGCCTCTGTTCTATGAATAAAAACTAGATCTACGGCCACCCTGAATGCAAGGTTGGCTGAGAACATACTCCCAGTCTGGACAGTTCCCAGCCACAACCATGCAAAAGCAGTATGGGGTTTGATGGTCACAGCATTAACCACTACCAGATCCATGTCCCCAAGGGAGGCAACCAGATGAGGATGGGAATATCCTCCATTCAGTACACCAAATCCTGCTCCAGGAAGCCCTACCCCAAGTACCCACCCATCAACCCTAGTCCCCTGCCTTTAGGGTGGGTGATCACAAATCTGACCCCTTTGAAAATAAAGGAAATGTTACTTGATTTGCTAAATCTTTAGGTCAGTCCAGACTGAGGATGGTGAGTGTCTAATGCGCTTTCCCTAAACATTTATTGAACCCTCATGTTGTGCCAGGGCTGATGCTGGGAACACGCCCATGGGTCAGACACAGTTTCTATTTCAAAACTGTGTCTCCTGAAAGGGGCAGAAAGAGGGCAGATCATTTCTAAGCATTGTGGTTGGCGTGATAAACAAGATGGGGGAGGAGAGGGGAAAGGAAATCACCAAGTGTGTCTGTTGGTGAAGGTGATGGTATACAGGAAAGGGGTGCAGGCCACATCCATGTGGACAGTACTTGGACCAGAAGGGGCTAGGGCTTCCTAGGCATGGACATAATCCTTGTGAGGTCTATGTGTTGCTCAGAAACCTAACTATTTCTACTCCCAACACAAACCACTGCTGATTCAAGTGCTGATTAGAAACCAGATCTCTGTGAACATAAACCCGTACTGATTCATGCGCTAACTATAAACCTATGCTAATTGTAAACTGTGTCCTGTTGTTGTTGTTGTTAAGTGCCATCGAGTAGGTGCCTACTCATAGCGACCTTATGCACAGCCGAAGGAAACACTGCCCGATCCTGGGCCAACCTCACTATTGTTGCCACACTTGAGTTCATTGATGCTGCCACTTGGCCTTAGCAGTTAGATAAAAAACTTGGTCAAGGACACAAGCTGATAGTCACCAACTGGAGTTGACTCATGTGCTAATTACAATCAAGGGATAATTTCACAGAGTGATTATAGTTGTTATTTGCCAAGGAGGCAAATATGTCTCATGGTGACCTCACATGTACACAGGAGCACTGTTCCAAAGGGTTTTCAAGGCTGTGATTTTTCAGGAACAGATCGTCAGGTGAGTCTTCCAGATCTTCCTTGGTGGGTTTTAATAGCCAACCTTCCAGCTTGTGGTCTTCTGCTTAGTCATTGTTTTTAACTTTTATTTGCCATTCAGGGAATTCAACAGAATGACTAAACCAAACCCACTACCATTGCGTGAACTCCAACTCATAACGACCCTGTAGAACAGAGTAGGGTTTCCAAGGCTATAAATCTTTATAGAAGCAGACTGCCTCATTTTTCTCCTGAGGAGCAGCTAGTGGATTCAAACTGCCAACCTTTTAGTTACCAGCCTAATGCTTAGCCCAATGTATCATCTGGACTTCTTGACAGATTGACTATCCACAAACAAAGCCATTCCCATAAAATCTATTCCAGCTCCTAGTGGCCTATATAGGGGTTCCCTTCACGAGAGCAGACAACCTCATCTTTCTCCTTCAAAGGAGCTGGTGAGTTTGAACCACTGACCTTTCGGTTAGCAATCCAACAACTAATCCACAGAGCCACTTCTTGGTAAGTGCCATCAAGACAGCTGGTTCCGACTCATAGGGACCCTGTCTGTACAGGGTTTCCGAGGCTGTAAATCTTTAGCAGAAAGCCTCATCTTTTACTCGCGGAACGGCTAGTAGTTTACTTTCGAACTGCTGACCTTGAGGTTAGTAGCCCAACTCATAACCACTATGCTGCCAGAGCTCTTTGCTGTTTTAAAGTGCCATCCAGTCGGTTCTGACCCATATAGGGTTTCCAAGGAGACCACAGACTTTGCAGTCCAGCCCATCAGCCCACAGCACCACACCAGAGTGTGTTATATTTGTAGTGAAAAAGAGACCAGGTTCTGAAGCCGAACAGCCTGGGTTCAAATCTCACCTCTGCCCCTGACCAGCTGAGTGGCAGTGAGCATGATATTTTCCTCCTTTGGGTCTCAACTTCTCCCTGGGTGTCCCAAATCTTGACTATTATTAATCTAAAGTTTGGTCGTTCCGTCTGTAAAGATTACAGCCAAAAAAAATCCTAGGACCATCAGAAGTTTGCTTTTTTGGGGGTTTTGAGCCTCAGCTTCATTCCTAATAAAATACACCGATAGTACTTCAAATTGTTGCTGGGAGGATAAAATGAGCTAATACAAATACATCACTTGGAGCAGTGCCTGGCACATAGTAAGTGCTTACGCTGTAAGCGCATACGGTACTATTAGTGACAATAACGATGTTCAGCCATCAGTTCTGATTTCATTTAATTCTCATAGCAGGCCTACACTGCAGTTTTCTTCACTAGTACACTCTTTCCGTGCCCAGATCGGGGCCTCAGTCTCTAGAAAGGCTTCTCGGAGGTCCTCAGTACAACCCTTTCCCTAAAGTCCCTGCTCTTTTTGCGTCCCCAGCCCTCGGCATGGTTCCCAGATCAGGGCATAACCTCTCAGCCACCACGTGGAGGCAGCAGGACACAGCTCAACAGCTGAGCTCACGGCACTGTGGCAGGCGCGTTCTCCCACAGTCCGGCTAAACTGTGGCTCCAGCATGGCATATGAACTACATTTCCCACAAACCTAAGCGACACCCTCTGCCTCACCTTGTTCAAATCCGGAGGCGAGGCCTAGCGCTCTCAGAGAGCGCGCCTCCAGAACGACGCGAAGGATTATGGGGTGGGCAAACTGGGCTTCACGCTCCGCCGAGCGTGGTGTTGCGCAGGCGCGGGCGATAAATACACGCTACCTGACCTCTGGTAGCGTAGTGGTTACGAATCGGGCTGCGAACCTTAAGGTCAGTGGTTCGAAACTACCAGCTGCTCCGCGGGAGACAGATGAGGCTTTCTACTCCCGTAAAGATTTACACTCTCGGAAACCCTGTACAGGGTCGCTATGGGTCGGAACCGACTCGATGGCACTTAACAACAACAACAACCTAACCTTAGCCAGTTGTTAGGGACCAACAACGTCCTGGTCCAGGACCCACAGCCAGCAGATCTGACCTTAAGACAGCAGTGGAAGCTAAGCAGTCCCTTACCAGAGGACGAGCAAGCCAGATCCTCCCAGCCTAGCCTGTACTCTAGAAACAATCCTTTGTCCACCTTTCCTGCATCTTAAGCGTCATGTCAGCCTGGCTCTGTATCATCTCTCAAGCTTGCTCAGGGCACTCCAGTATGAGGAACAAAATCCCCTTTCCTTTCTTTTCTCCTTTATAGCCACTTTCCTTCCCTTCTTTTTCTTAAAGGTGCTGGTGAGTGGGTTATGACTCAAAGTGATCTTATTTATGTACCACAGAACGAAACACTGTCTGGCCCCGAGACATCCTGACAATCACTGTTACTCCTGAACCCATTACTGATGCCACTGTGCCAATCATTTTGTTAGGGGTCTTCTTTTTCGCTGACCCTCCACTTTACCAAGCATGATGTCCTTCTCCAGTGACTGATACCTCCTGATAACATGTCCGAAGTGTGAGAGACGAAGAAAATCTCACCATCCTGGCTTCTAAGGAGCATTCTGGCTGTATTTTTTTCCATATAGATTTGTTTGTTCTAATAAGTCCATGATACTTTTCTCCAACACCATAACTTAAGTGCATCAATTCTTCTACAGTCTTCCTTATTCATTGTCCAACTTTCACATGCATTGTTGTTAAGTGCCGTCGAATCGGTTCCGACCCATAGCGACCCTGTATAGTGTTTCCGAGGAGTGAATTGGTGAGCTTGAATAGCCCCTCTTGTGATTTAAGCTGACTTTGCAGTCCAGCGCATTAATCCACAACGCCAAGCCAGGACTCCCTCACATGCATTTGAGGCTATTAAGAACACCATGGAGAGGCGACGGGTGCCGCCGAGATTTGTGGTTGCAGCTTGATTCCTCGGTTTTATCCGTAGTGTTTTTCCCACTTCGCAAATAGGTCAAAATGCAGATCTTTGTAAAGACCCTGACTGTCAAGACCATCACCCTGGAAGTGGAGCCCAGTGACACCATCGAGAATGTCAAGGCCAAGATCCAGGACAAGGAAGGCATTCCCCCTGACCAGCAGAGGCTCATCTTTGCAGGCAAGCAGCTGGAAGATGGCCGCACTCTTTCTGATTACAACATCCAGAAAGAGTCAACTCTGCACCTTGTCCTTCGTCTGAGGGGTGGCTGTTAATTCTTAAGTCTCATATCCGTGATGCCAAGTGATGGCATTACTCTGCACTATAGCCATTTGCCCCAATTTAAGTTTAGAAATTGCCAGTTTCAGTAATAGCTGAACCTGTTCAAAGTGTTAATAAAGGTTTTGTTGCATGGTAAAAAAAAAAAAAAAAA